CATCCGCCCGAACACTCGCCCTAAAACCCACCCTAAAACCCACCCTAAAACCCACTCTCAAACCCACCCCCAGAAACCCACCCTAAACCAACCCTAAGCCCGCCCTAACATCCCAGCCCCTACCAGAGATGAGTTGGTTGTAATGTTGACTTCGGATTCATTTGACCCGTACTCAGGGATGGCTCTCGTTCTTTTCGTAGGGAAAGGATCCTCTTTTTTTTTCCGCGGGGGGGGGGGTCCCTTTGTGATGTGGTACCCATCGTTTCCAGGCAAGCCACTACAGTAGGGGTTTCTTGTTAGGTTGTCCATGGTTTCTCCTGGCTACCTACAATCGTGTTGGACAACTCTCCTACCCAATGTTCACTTCGGATTTATCTGGAGGACCCCCACCAGACAAGGTCCCGCAAACACGGATGATTTTCCTACAAAAAGGGGACCACCCCTGATTAGTATGGTCCTTCGGGTTGACCCGAAGTTGGCAAAATTGGGTTTCGCTTGATTTCCCTTGGTTCCCTTTAAGGTTGACCCAGGATTAATACACCCGTCCCATTAGGGGGGTGGAAACCCCTCCAAAAGTGGTCTGAATCCAACAAAACTAAAAGGAATTGGACACCCCCCAATCAAAATCAACCAGGGGGTCTGCTTAATCCGGGGTTAAGATTAGTTTGGATTGGTGGTTTGGGAAGTTGAACCCCACTTCCTTTTGCAGCCAATGGAGTCAATGGAGTCAATGGGTTAACGTTACTGGCACAAGCCTGGCACGTCAGACAAGTGACACGCCGCTGCCCGAGCCCCAGGCGCCCAAATGGGGGAGCCCGGCGCCCAGACCACATCAGCAAAAATGGGATTTGCCCGTGGGTTCAAGAATAGGGTGACCCCAAAATGGCAAGCTGCCCTGGTAAATGGGATTTGCCAGTGTTCAAAAACGGGGTAGCCCCAAAATGGCAAGCTGCCCTGGTGAATTTTGACACATGATGGCTAAAACCTACAGCTTTCTGGTTTCATTTTGACCCACACCCATCTGGTTTCGGATTTTGGAGGTTCCCTTGAAAAAGCTCAAGGGAGGGGCTTCCTTTTCGCGATGCCCCTATTGCTTTTGGCGGATGGCTCCAGGCTACAGCTTGAGCAACCTGTCGACAAATGGGTGTGGCTCAAAAAATTAAGAGCTAGGCTTGCGCAGGGTTTGGTCTTTGTTTCCATTGACCTAGGGCCCATTTTGGGTACATCTTTTTGAGCCACAGCCAAATGGGAATGCACCGAAGCCACCAGGAATTGGACCGGTGGAGTCTTTGTTTCCAGTTAGGCCAAGCCCCATGTTGGGGTTACCATATTTTTGACCCACGCCGAAACAACACCGGGAGCTCTTTTTCAGCAAACTCAATGTTCTGTCCCGGCACATGTCAGCTTCCCACTAATTGGTGGTTTGGATTGGTGGTTTGGGGATTCAATCCCCTGCTTCTTGCAGAGGGTAAATGCTTAACCACCAAACCACCAATCCAAACCACCAATTGAACATGGGACTTCAGGACCCGGCGAGGTGATTATTTGAAAAAGCGTCTCCGGACTGGAGGTAAAACCGCGTGCTCCGCGAAGCTGCAAAACCGCAGCGAAACCAGCCCTCCTTCCTTTTTGTGCTTGTTGTTGTTCTTCTTTCATTCTCGTGGGGAATTGGCCTCTTGGTCAGTCCCTCAATAAACAGTTTAAGGCGAAGCGGTGCTCGCTTCCAGCTGCAGCGGTGGATAAGATCTCGGTTGCAGCAGCTTCGTCAAGTTGACTGCACGTTGGTCTGTGCTGGGCGCAGCGCCGGCAAGCGGAGCCTGACAACGAGTAAGACTAGGTCCCCTAGCTAGGTGCCAACCTTTACCGTTTCTTTTTTGGGGGAGGGTTCCCCTACTAAAATGGACTACAGAAAAAAGGGTACAAGTATTCGAACCTCTCTACTGGAGGAGCTAGAAGAGCCTCTAGCTCTGGAGGATATGACGATGATTGTGTGCAACACGCCCAAAACCAGTGTTTTCACTGCCAACAATGTGAGAGAATGGTTCCGGAACAAGCATGGCGACTGGAATCCTGGCTCTTGATTTGTGGGTAGTTCAAGGGGCCGAGGAAGACCAAAACGCTGGGTCCGACGTCCTCACAGCCGCCAAGCTGGTTGTTCTGTCTCTCTTTTTGCGTTGCCCTCTTACCCTTTTTTGGGGGAGGGTTCCCCTACCAAAATAGACTACAGAAAAAAAGGGTACCCTTATTTTAACCTCTCTACTGGAGGACCTAGTCGCAGATTTGAGGCAGTGTTGAAGGTAGAGGAAACGAGCACGCGGGGGCCGGTTCATATCCTGTGAGAAGAGAGATAGAGACAGCAGAGAGAGAGAGAGAGAGAGAGAGAGAGAGAGAGAGAGAGAGAGAGAGAGAAAGAGAGAGAGAAGGGGCGGAACACCCGATGCGCATCCTTCTCAAATTTCCGGCAAGGGCGTTCCTTGTTGCTATGGGTCAAATGAAACCACCACGGGACCGCGGATTTCAGTCCATGTTTCCAATTACCAAAGTGCATTTTGGGCACCTACTTTTGACCCACACCCTTGTGGTGCCTAAATATTGCTGTTGACGACCCAGATGCCAAGGGTGTGTCTTGGTTTCCCTTTTCAAACAGACCATCCACGAAGCACCGTCCACCTGGCTCAAGTAGTTCTCAAACAGCGGCGGTCCCTGAAAAGGAGTTGCTCGAAGTATGGTTTGGTGGAACATTGGGTCGTAGTTCCATTTTCTTTGGTGCCAAGAGAACACCCTTGAAAATGACAAAGTGCTCGGATTAATGTAAGCGGGACAAAGCAACGCGAAGGTGTGTTGTCCCCACCCTATGTTTATTTCAGAAAGGACCTCTGCAAATAGATTTTGACCAAAGCCCGCCTTTTGACCGTTAGGTTTCCCCAGTTTAGTCCATGTTTTTAGTCAAGGCTCCAAAGGTGACGCTTTCATTTCCCGATCGCTCTAGGCGACAAGGGACAACATGCATGGAGCCGGGGCGGGGGGGGGGTCCCAGCTGGGTGTGGATGGTGACCATGTCCATGTCCGCCCAGGTGGATGCAGTTCCAGCGCAAGGCTCAGGAGGCCGAAATGGAGTGAGTCAGTCGGTGAGGGCTCATGCGTCTGGGCCAATGCCCTCTGATGTGTGGTTTGGATTGGTGTTTTGGAAGTAGGGGCGGTTTCCCATTTTACTCTCCACAAAAAGCCAGGGCTTCAAATAAACATTTGTTTTACTTCAAAATGTACGTGTAATTTATAACATGTTTAAAACAGTATGGCCATGGGTCATACAGTCATACCTTATGGCTCCATATTGGGGCGGATGAACACCCATGTACCGCCTATTTTGATGTTCACCAGGGGTACAGGGTTTGGACCCACAGCCCTATGTTTTTTGTTTTGCAACACCTTGGGCCTTGGGCCTTGACTACTTGGATGGTCTGGGAGTTAGCTAAGTGGTTAGTAACCCTAGTTTGTAGCCCATTTGCCATGGCCCCAAGAAAACCAGGAAAATGCACCATTTCGCGAAGTCCCAGAACATTTCACCATGGTTGTAAGTCCCCTACGAGGGTTAACCATTTCGCCCAGCAGACCATCTAAGTACCCCCGTGCTTCCAGGCCCAGCGCTTGGAGTCGGTTCCGCGGACGCCCCTCCCCCGCTCCTTGCGCCAGGAGCTGGATCCTCCCACGCGGCAGACGACGCCCTGCGGCGCAGGGGGGCCACGGAGTTCTTGAGATGGACTTTGGGCCTTGGGCGTCTCAAGCTACGTCGGGGAGGTTCTAACCATGGCTGTAAGCAAAGTACTTTCAGTTACCCTGTGGTTATTTCAGTTACCCTGTGGTTATTTTGCTTGCCTACTAAGTTGGTGGAACCTCCGGTAAGTACCTGGAGTCTCCTTCTGCCCCTTGAAACATGGGGCAACGACCCCCTTATTTTGGGTAATGACCCGATTTGTTCAAGAGTCATGGAGACTCCAGGTAGGTTATACCCATGGTTGTACTCGAACCAACCCCAGCTACCCCTTGGTTATGACCTACTAAGTTACTAAGTTGGTTGAAGCAGACCCATGGACCCGATCTGTTTGCCTCTGTACCGTTGTGTCTGCTTTAATTTCCCGCCCCCCCCCCCCCCATTCCGGGCCGAGACTTCCTCTCAAGATTCCCAGTGCTTAGTATTGCCAAGTATTTCCTTTATAGCAGGTCCGACATGGTTGTGATGGGTCAAAGGTTTGGTTTGGGGGTCCAGGAATTTACATTTTTGGGGAAGACGATGTCAGTGGCAGAGAAAGAAGTAAGTGTTATTGGATTTGTTTTCGGCCACTCAAGAAGTTAGCGAATCAAAGGTGGGATTCACTAAACTAAACGAAAGGAACCCCCAAAAACACAAATTTGCACAAACGGAGGTTCCTGCAAACATGTTCCAAGTTGCTTTTGTTCCAAGTTCCTGCGCAGGGAACTTGCAAGAGCCATGTGCACCCGGCAATCTGAGCAAAATAATTCCTCAGCCCCAAGCAAGGATTTTCTATGAAAGGAATTCATCTACAGATCCGAGTTGGGGCGGCGACAGGCAGGGGGCTTGTGGGGGCGTTGGGTTCCATGCATCATTTTGTGTTTTTCAACCAGGGTTAAATGAACTCCTTCAGCCGGCAAAAGGTTTTCACGCTCTAAAGAGTGTTGACCATGGTGCAGAGTCAGCCCCTGTGGGGCACCGGAGATTGCCGATTTTGGAGAGGGACACCTTGTTTGTTTTGCTGGTGCTGTGGTTGGTCGGCAACGAACACGGCGCCTTCTTTGCGAACATGCCAGGAATTTTGGAAGCGAACATTCCAGGAATTGTGGAAGTCATTTTTTCTCGGCAGGATCCCCTAGCACCCCATTTGTGAACGGCGCGTATACGATGGATCGCCTCACGACTCTATAAGAGACCACTCTGATTTCTGGAATGCTGCGATGTGTATGTACTATCAGGAGCCGGAGAAATGAGCGCGCGTTTGGCAGTCTTGGCAAGGTATGCTGTAGCCTGAATTTATCTTTGACATGGCTTGTTTTTGGTGACAGAGCCAGTTGCACTGGGTGACATTCCGCACCACTTGGCCGAGGCCTTGGCCGTTCCCTTATTCAAGTTTGGGATGTAGCAATCTACACAGATCTTTCAGGGGTGCTTTTGTTTCCTTTGCTTAGGCGGGTTCCTTTTGGACTCAACTACCCCCAAATTGTTTGATGGAAGGCCGCAGGCCTATGAGGGCTGGTGTCCTTTTGGTTTTCGGGTACCCTCAAAGAAAGACACGCCCATCACACATATATCCGGCTTTCACTGGATGCACTTGAGCCATCACCTAGATGAAGGTTCGGGGACCTAGTGTTCCTTTTGATTCCCCTTAAACCATCTTAGCCCCTTAAAATTGGCTGGTGGACATGAATCCCCACTAAAACTAACACACGTACTTCAGACTGTCCATATTCATTTCATGTCACTAAGGGGTAGGTACACGGGGAGTGCCCCAAAACCCCCCACCCGCAGCCCCGCAACCCTCCCCTTGACCCCACCGAATTCCATAATCATTGGGCGACCCTAATCGGGTTCCAACCAGTCTGGGTGTTTCTTTAAGGGCCACCCCTTCCCCCCCCAAAAAAAAAACAAGAAAGAACAAAGAGAGAGCAATGAGCTCATGTTTTTTCCGGTTGGTGTCCCTTTACTTCCCCAGAATTAGCTCCCCCTTCTCCTTTTTTGCTTTTGTGGGGTCCCCTTTGTTTTCCGCTACCCAGGCAGAAAAATGGGTGTGCGTGAAAATTCAACCACCAGGCGGACCGCAGGTTTTGGTCCATTTGTTTTTCTGGTTGGTGTCCCTTTACTTCCCCAGAATTAGCCCTTTGTTTTCCACCGACCAGGCAAAAACGATATTCTTTTGGCCCACCAGGCGGACCACAGGTTTTGGCCCATGTTTCCACTTACCAGGAGGGCAACCCATTTTGGTACCGATTTGGCCCACAGCCAAAAAAACAAGTATACCTGGAGTCTCCACGACCCGAAATAAAAATGGTTCAATGACCAACCATGATTTTGGGAGTCATGACCAACCATTTGATTCGGTTCAGATCCGGAGACTCCAGGTGCACCCAAACCGGGGTCCACTAATTCCAGCCAAGTTGAAAGCCTCACAAACCCCACCCCCGAGGCGGGTGGCTCGCGGCTCACCAGTGCCACGGCGCTGCCTGAGGACTCAAAGCACACTCAGGCGGGGGCAAAGAGAGAGGCGGTGTGGATCCTTTACGTTTCCCGTTGGTTTTGGCTTGGTTGGATGGGTGTGGTTTGGTTTGGATGGGTTTGGTTTGGTTTGGATGGGTTTGGTTTGGTTTCGATGGGTTTGGATGGGTTTGGATGGGTTTGGATTGGTTTGGATGGGTTTGGCTTGGTTTGGCTTGGTTTGGCTTGGTTTGGATGGGTTTGGATGGGTTTGGATGGGTTTGGATGGGTTTGGATGGGTTTGGATGGGGTTTGGCTTGGTTTGGCTTGGTTTGGATGGGTTTGGATGGGTTTAGCTTGGTTTGGCTTGGTTTGGATGGGTTTGGATGGGTTTGGATGGGTTTGGCTTGGTTTGGATGGGTTTGGATGGGTTTGGATGGGTTTGGATGGGTTTGGCTTGGTTTGGATGGGTTTGGATGGGTTTGGATGGGTTTGGCTTGGTTTGGCTTGGTTTGGATTGGTTTGGATGGGTTTGGATGGGTTTGGCTTGGTTTGGATGGGTTTGGATGGGTTTGGATGCGTTTGGCTTGGTTGGGCTTGGTTTGGATGGGTTTGGATGGGTTTGGATGGGTTTGGCTTGGTTTGGATGGCTTTGGATGGGTTTGGATGGGTTTGGATGGGTTTGGATGGGTTTGGCTTGGTTTGGCTTGGTTTGGATGGGTTTGGCTTGGTTTGGCTTGGTTTGGTTGGGTTTGGATTGGGTTTGGATGGGTTTGGATGGGTTTGGCTGGGTTTGGACGGGTTTGGCTTGGTTTGGATGGGTTTGGATGGGTTTGGCTTGGTTTGGCTTGGTTTGGCTTGGTTTGGATGGGTTTGGCTTGGTTTGGATGGGTTTGGCTTGGTTTGGATGGGTTTGGATGGGTTTGGTTGGGTTTGGCTTGGTTTGGATGGGTTTGGATGGGTTTGGCTTGGTTTGGCTTGGTTTGGATGGGTTTGGATGGGTTTGGATGGGTTTGGCTTGGTTTGGATGGGTTTGGATGGGTTTGGATGGGTTTGGCTTGGTTTGGATGGGTTTGGATGGGTTTGGATGGGTTTGGATGGGTTTGGATGGGTTTGGCTTGGTTTGGATGGGTTTGGATGGGTTTGGATGGGTTTGGATGGGTTTGGCTTGGTTTGGATGGGTTTGGATGGATTTGGATGGGTTTGGCTTGGTTTGGATGGGTTTGGATGGGTTTGGCTTGGTTTGGATGGGTTTGGATGGGTTTGGATGCGTTTGGCTTGGTTTGGATGGGTTTGATGGGTTTGGATGGGTTTGGATGGGGTTTGGCTTGGTTTGGATGGGTTTGGCTTGGTTTGGATGGGTTTGGATGGGTTTGGATGGGTTTGGATGGGTTTGGCTTGGTTTGGATGGGTTTGGCTTGGCTTGGCTTGGTTTAGATGGGTTTGGCTTGGTTTGGATTGGTTTGGATGGGTTTGGCTTGGTTTGGACCTCTATTTGACACCCCATGTAGAACATAAGGTTGTTCAGACAGTTGGCACTAGGAACAGAGCCTAAACACTATAGGTGATGGCAGTTGGGTGAACTTCCATTTGCTGAAATGAAGATTTGTTCAATTTCCCCGCTCTTGGTTTTACTGGGAATCTAGTCCTATTGGACATATTTTCTCATTTTTTCCAGGGGGCGAAAAGGGAATGGAAGTGCATGGGTGAAGATGACCGCCCCAGAAACGACTTGTTGACAACAAATAGAGACCCCACCACCCTGCTAGTTGAGTGAGTGAGTGAGTGAGTGAGTGAGTGAGTGAGTGAGTGAGTGAGTGAGTGAGTGAGTGAGTGAGTGAGTGAGTGAGTGAGTGAGTGAGTGAGGGAGTGAGTGAGTGAGTGAGTGAGTGAGTGAGTGAGTGAGTGAGTGAGTGAGTGAGTGAGTGATGATGGTAATGAGGATGATGATGACGACGCCGACGCTGATGATGATGATGATTATGAGGAGCAGCATGATGCTGATGATGATGATGATGATGATGATGATGAGGATGAGGATGAGGATGATGATGATGATGATGATGATGACGATTCTTATTGTCACTATTTATAAGCACTACACGTCGTGTACTGCACATGTACAGATGTAGGACGCACATATAAACATATATATATATGTATATTATACATTATATATATATAGAGAGAGAGAGAGAGCGAGAAATCCAGGACCCACAAACATATGTATATATATATATACATATATATATATACATGTATATGTACACATATTCTCGCAGCATTTAGGGAACCCTGCTAGAAAGGCTCTTTTGGAAGACTTTCGGACAGATGCATCAGCTATGTCATGAACAAGTAAAAAGTGATTTGCCTCGATTTTTGCCTCCCACGCCCTGGAATCGCATTTATGGCAACCATCAAGTACTTATTCCCTGCATGTTACGTTGCATATCTATGCACAGGCAGGGTTAGAGAGTACTGGGCGAATGGATTTCTACTGGCTCACTCTCCCTTTTGCAGACTGCCATTGCTGAACCGCAGAAATCAGATGCTTGGCTCAGGAACCCGACGTTTCCTATTTGAGGGCATCAGTGAATGATGTGGTCTCTCCACAAACGAAGCGACATGCCTTCTCCACGCGTTCCTGACGGCCCTGCCCATGACGTCCCTGCTCTGCAGATCCGACAAAACCGGACCCACGCCTGACCATGGAAGGCCAAGGGCAGGGGAAGTTCGCCGTCAGTCGACTCATCAGCTGCAACGATGTCTGGCTGGCGCTGTTCTGAACTCAGCCAGGTGACATCTGAAGCGAGCAAGGTCATATGGCAAACACTGCAAGACACGGCCATGTCGGTGCCACGAGCGGGCCTAGAAATGCGAGGATTCAACGTCAGCGTGAGCGTTTTTCTGCCAGATACTGGCAGTGGAGCGGACGAAGGCCAATCTGCAACCGGTGAACCACGGTAGCTCATGTTTGGTACAAGTTTTGATTAGACCAGATCAATGATTAGATGAGCTGTTTCAACAAAGCTGTTTCATGTGCTGCAGACCACTAGTTATCTAAACAACAGTGTCGAAGAAAAAGGGGTTAACATGCCCAGAACCACATGGGGTCTTTCTCATCATAAGCAGACCGTGTGATTCTGTGACTGTTGCAAATTTGGATAAGCGCGTCAAGAAAGCAGCCAGAGCGGACAGTAAGCCAGATTCAGCACGACCCTCGAGACGTAAACAAGACATGTTTGTGGAAGGTTGTTAACCGTCTCAACAAGGATCACAAGCCTTCTTATATCAAGATGCACAACTCACGGGGCAGGCACAGAGCGTGCTGAAACGATAGCTACATATCTAGAAGAGAAGCACTGGTCTAACGAATTTCGTCAGGGTCCGCTGCCGTCGCAAATCCAGATCGGTGCAAATATGTTTGGTGACAGTTTGCCTGTCACATGCAGAGCTACACGATGTGTTGAATAGGACAAAGATGGGAAAGCAGCCAGGCCCCGACAGAATCGTCAAGAAAAATGCACAAATGGCTTGATGTAAGGAATAGGCAGCGCCTTTTTCATACTGAATGACTGGGTGTCCGGCAACATGAGCCAATTTCCAGGCCAAGCAACTTGGTCGGCGCTTTAGCCAAGCACTTTTGCCACCAACCCCCTCGACATATCAACATATGTCAACCATTCCGTGGGTTCAATATGTATATATGTGTATGCAAATATATATATATATATGGTATCTATTTGAAATATCCTCTTGAAACATCACCCCACTTGAGAAACGCCCGACAACCGCCATTCGACCACTGGCTATCATCAGGGCTGCGCAAACCTTTTGTAGTGAAGTGTCCGGGCTTGCCAGCCGAACCACCTCTTTTCGCGGTTCCCCCATTTTGTCGTCAGTCCTCCGTACAATCCCCCCCCCCCACTTTTTGGAATCCCTACAACGGTAGGTACTACGGCTCCTTAGGGTTTTATAGGGTTCCTTGGTTTTTGTTCGGGTTTTTTTAGGGTTCCTCAAAGAGCCTCAGGTAGCCATTCCCCCCCCCCTGCCCGGGACTCAGCGGCGACGGCGCTCGAGCTCGGAGGACTGGCAGCTCTTCGCGAGCACCAGCTGCCAGTCCTGCTCGGTGACCACCGACGCAGCGGCCCGGAGACGCGGGGGGAGGGGTTGGGCGATGGGCGATTCGGTGCCTAAGGCGGCAGGTCTCCGTCCATGACCCTCAAAAAGCATGGGTCAGTGACCAACCATGATTTTGGGAGTCGTGACCCACCATTTTTGAAGGGTCGGAAGGAGACTCCAGGTACTTTGTAAGTGGGTAATAACTACGGTTATAACATAACCCACTTGCCATGTGCATACGCTTCCTAAGTAGGCTTTCCAACCACTTACTAAGTACCCTGGCCCGTTTAAGTCGCCGGAGGGTCCCAACATGGTACCAGGTTTAAGCATAAACAAAGGGAGTGGCCCAACTGTGTGCCAAAGGGCAAGGGGAAGACACACAGGAAATCTTCCGCCCCGCTAAGCGTCCAACTTGTTGCTTAGGGTACCGGTATTGAAAGAATTTTAAAAAAGGACCAGCAAGGAGAACAGTTAGGATCCAGCAAAAGCCCAGTCTTACTTGCCCAGCCCATGGAAGCATGCTGCGTGATGTTTTGGACCAGTATTTCGACCGCTTTGTTGGGCGGCATTCTGCCTCTTTCGCGCAGAATTCGTGGACCTGGGGACGGATCAGATTTGCGAGTCCTAGGCAAGCCAATGCTCACGGCTGTCTGGTAGATATGAAGCAAAGAGACGCATCCAGGTTTCCAGCGGTTCCGGTTCCTGTCGTAGGAGTTAGCACGGACCATTCTTGCGCCCACTTCCACTTGCGCGTAGCTCGTGGCCAATATGAAGAATCCCAAGGGCTTACTTCCGGAGCTCGCCATAGAGAGGTTACAATAGGGAGAAACAGGACGCTGTTTTTGATGAGCCTTGTAAGAGAGAGCCGCCTCTAGCCACGAAAGGAAAACTCTTAGCCATTCACTGCAGGAATAAGAAAGCCTCGAAACTGGTAACCGTCCAACCCTTCACAGCCAGAAGCATATGGGTTGTAAGAGGCTTTCCAACCTAAGGGAAACTGGGGGAACACAACGAGGGCCAGAAGGATTGATGAAAGGAGCAAAGGCAAGCATGCAAACAGGAGCCAGCGAGCAAGGCGCTAGCACGGTAATTAACACGACCCCAAATACAAACACAGAAGCCAACAAAGGTTCCATGATAAAACATTTCAACACACGACCATCCTGTTTGATTTCTTGGCAGTGGACTCATTGCACAACAACAAAGGGATGCACCCGCGCCCAAAAGCAAAAGAACATCCCGGCGCCCAACCCTCCGGACAACGTCCAGGCTGTCTCCTAACATGGCCGTTGGGGAAACGACCCGACCTTCCAACCGCAGAAGAGCATCCCGACGAAAGAAACCTTCATGGGCGTCGCAAGAACCCCGCAAAAACCCGCGGCGTGAAAAAACCGCGGCGTGAAACGAAAAAATCGCCCTTTGGACGTTCCGTTGCACCTGATCCAATGGTTTTCCTTTAAAAGGCAACCCTCAGGCCCGGGTCATCTGGTCATCTCTCCAAAGCACCGGGGCCCCGAACCCAAAACAAAGAAATGGCATGAGTCACTTTCGTGGATTGCCCACCACCTGTCCAAGCTTCTTGGGCCATTCAAAGGGTCTTCCCGCAAGGAAATCATCTTAAGACACCCATATGGGCCGTGGCGAGCAAAAAACCGGAGTTCCAAAATGGGTTACCCTGGTAAGTGGAAACATGGACTAAAACCTGCGGTTTGCCCCTCCCATTTACTTTTGAGCCACACCTATCTATGAACCATGAAGCATAAAACGCAGGTGTCTATGGGTCAAAACTACCACCAGTGAACATCCGATTCAATCCAACCACTAAAATAGGAAACCTAAAATGCCAACCACTAAAATAGGAAACCTAAAATGCCAACCACTAAAATAGGAAACCTAAAGTGGGTGGTGAATTCACCAATCCCACCCAAAATGGGATCCCATGTTTTTGTTGAATCCCCAGAATCCGAGTTCCAAGGACTCCGACAAGTGGGGGAGCGTGCTCAAGGGCGTATGTTTGGTTCTAACCCAGAGGCTCCGATTGGCCGTGGCTCAGAAAAACGGAATTCCAAAATGGGTTACCCTGGTGAGTGGAAACATGGACCAAAACCTGCGGTTTGCCCCTCCTGGTGAATTTTGAGCCACACCCAATTCGATGGAGTTTTTTGGTCTTCAATCCTAATTTTGAGACCCAAAAAACCACCAATTCAATGCCGGCGTGCCTCGAGGGGTCGGGTCTTCCATTGAAAGCCGAAGCCGATCGGAGCCTCAACTTCAAACTTGTTCTTCGGCATTCGCTTTCCGCTTTTGTTGTGTGTGAGAGAGTTCCCCGCAGCAATCATGACTCAATGAAGGGGAGTCAGAATCAAAAACCGGGTAGCAGAAGAGTCAGGGCCAGTCCCAGCCAGGCATAGGTGCGGGTATCTGCCATTGAAATTTTCCTTAGTTGCATTTGGGTGGACCACCTCCAGCCCGGGTTTTGTGACTCAGGGAAGCGAGACTTAGGGAAGCGACCTGCACCACGACCCACAGGAGTTTGGACCCTGTCGTTGTTTGATTCTCGCTGGTCGAGTTGGCAAACTAGACTTGGATGTCAAAGATGGCTTCTTGACTGCTATTCAGTTGGATCTTTAGACTTTAACTTCTTGGAAAATCAATGGGGTTCTCCACTAAACCCACAAAAAGCTGTTCACTTTTTGCAGAGGGATCAACAGCAACCAAGGTTTGCACACCCCCCAAACCATCTCTTACTGTTTGGTTCGGGTGGAAACCGTGATACAACTGGAAAAGAGGTCCCATGAGTCCCATGGAAGGGTAAAACAGCGGTCCCGGTATGGGTGGCTCGTCTTTTTCGGGGGACCCCCCAAAAATGGTGCTTTTCCTCTTGGTCCCCCTACACCAATAACTAAGGGTATCCTCAAAAACGACACACCTATGAGCCCCCCCCGCCGGCCGTCCCCGAGGCGGTGCTCAGCCAAGTGTCCTCCTCCCCCACGGCACTGCACAATATGGCGACGGTGGCTGGAAGCCGAGGACGTGGTTTTGGTTTTGGCCAACACGTTTTTTTTTGGTACCCCAGAAGGTTGACCCCCCCAAAGAATCGACCAACCGGTTTATGTATAGTTTTTTTTTCTTCTCGGTATTACCCCAGAATGTTGACCCCACATTAATCAACCAACCGGTTTATGTATAGTTTGGTGGGGGCCCCTCCAAAAATCAGGGATAAACTGGGGTTGATGAATATGGGGTCAACATTCTAGAGGTTGATTCCCCATTCTTTTCAACCATCGTTCAACTGTTTCTATTGGGTTTTCGGAGGTTTCTAGAAAGAAGAATCCCTGGAAAGAATTCGGAAGGTACCAGTAGAAGCATTCTGTGAGTGCCCTTGTTGAGGGGTACCGTTTTTGGGATTAGTTTAACGGAAACCACACCCTGTGGATCCTGGTTGCCCATATAGCGGGTAACCAGCTATTTTCAATTTGGTGGTTAAAGGGTGGTTTCCTTGGTTACCTACTTATAGATAAATGGATCCACTGGGAAAGGCAAATCACTATTTTTGGGGTCCCCTGCTTTAAGACACGCCAGGGATTAAGGCTTGGCGTTTCCCAGCCGTTCTCTTAGGTTTTTAGGTTTTGGTTTATTAGTGGGGATTTCCATTTACCCACTAAAAGTTAAAACTCTTAGCAAGGGATCTGAGGGCAGCCCAGGGGATTTTTGTTGCATGGGACTGAAAGCATGTTGGGACCTGTGGGCATACCGAACTATGCGCGCGGTTTCGGGCTTGGTGAAAACGGGGATTCGACCACCAAGTCTTGTTAACTCCGCAAGGTACCAAACAAATGGCAATTGAGAGCTTGGCAAAACCCCCGCAGCACCTTGGCAAATGTATGGCTCGTTTTTGTGTAGCTGACCCCCCAAAAACGGCGTCGGTTCCTTCTTCCCTTTGAAGCCAACAAAAAAGTGCACCACCAACAAAAGACACCACGTTTTCCCTTGGTTGTCTTTTGCTCCGAAGCTTAAAGACAATGGTCAAACCCGAAGTTGCTTTGGGTTCCTTTGGTTTAACTCCGAACCTTCAAGCAAAATGACCAACCCACTTGATAGCACAACTTTCTGCGTCGGCCCCTTTGAGAAAGAATGAAAAAGGCCTGGAGGACGACCCGTGCTGTTCAAGTTCAACCGTCTGGCAATTAGCCTCTAACCCTCGTGGTGTAACAGTGGTGTAGCAGTGGCTACAAGTACTCGGTAGAAAGTTTCTCAACATGGTGGACCCCTTTTGGTTGAACGGTTGGCATGTTGAGGGAGCCCAGATTGCAGCCAACCATTCCAGAGGACTGATTCCAATCTACGTAGCAATGTTGAGACACACCCAGTCGATAAACGTTCTTTTGCAGGAACCACCCCCCCGCTTATGACGTCGAAGTTTTTTCGGGATCCCTTTGGCGTCCAATAGTGAAGGTGATCGTGAGGTACAACATGCGGGTCCAGCAGGGCGAGGCGTGCTCGCGGAATTTCCAGCCGCAATGCCGCCTGCTGCCGAAAGAGTTGCAGGGGGACCACGTGGAGGTGCCCGTATACGAAAAGATTGCAGCAAGCAGGTGGCACGACTGTGCCCACACCCCTCACTGGGAAGAACACTACGTCCCACACAAGGACTGGTTCCTTCACATGGACTATGACAAGGTGAAGAATCTCACAGCCTTGAGCTGCTGCTTCCCCTGAACTCCTCAGCCCACCAACGTGAAGGCAAGAGCTGCTGCGTTCACCGCTTGCCAGTCCTTGGATCACTCACGCAGCCCGCGAGGCGGGTCACTAGTTTCCGGGCGCATCTTGGCCAAGGGTCCCATTAAAAGGTGCCTCATCCTTTCGCGGATTTATTCGGTGTCTGTTGATGAATCCCCTTAAATCAGGTACCTGCAGTCTCCATGACCCTTTAAAAATGGGTCTATGACCCCATTATTTTGGGTAATGACCAACCATTCTTTAAGGGTCGTGGAGACTCCAGACACCCCTTAGTCGGTGGTTTATTTTGCGGGCCAAAGAAAGGGGGCTGGGGCGCCGTGATTTTCCCTTCCGCTCCTCTGCAACACCGCCCACTTCAAAGCAACGCAAGCCCTTCATGTTTGAGGGGGTCGAAGTCTTGCCAGGCTTCGGTTTCCACTACCCCCAAACCTTCCTGTAGAGTGGTTAGATATTCCTTTTCGGGCAGCATAATGTCAACCTATGATTAATAAACACCCCCCCCTCAAACAACTTCCCTCCCCAAATAGCTCTTGCAACTTGATTACGAATTGCTAAGTATTGCTCACAGATTTGTTGTGTTTCAATTGATTTAGTATTGCTGGAGCCTCCTTTTGAGATTGGATTCGGGTTTCCAATTGGTTTAGAATTGGTGGATTTGAGTTATTACTTGATTTCGTATTGCTGGAGCCTCCTTTTGAGATTTGACTTGACGGATTTGAGTTTCCTATTGGCTTAGTATTGGTGGATTTGAGTTTTTAATTGATTTCGTATTGCTGGAGCCTCTTTTGAGATTTGACTTGTTGGGATTCCAATTGATTTACTATTGCTGGTGACACTTCTTTTTTTTGGGGGGGTAACCAGGAATCTTTATTTAGGGCGGCCCCCTAAATCATGTTTTTTTCAACCCCCAAGTACTGCCCCCCTTGTGGGGTTGATTGGGGGCCAATTTTTAAACAAGCGTATGTAAAGACTTGTTTTCAGTTTGGGAGCTGGGATTTTGTTGGGGTTGCAAAAGCTAGATGATTGAAATCATAGGGAGCAAGTTTCAAGGGAAATCTTTTAAAGATTGAGCCTTTTACTGAGAAAGCATTTTGAAACACGAGTTGAGCTTTTTTTTTGGGGGGGGGGCAACCAAAAATCTTTATTTAGGGGGAACCTCTAAATAAAGTTTTTGTCAACCCCCAAGTACTACCCCCCTTGTAGGGTTGATTCGGGGCCACTTTTCAAACAAGAGTATGTAAATATTTTGCAGTTTGGGAGCTAGTACTTTTTGTAGATCTGAAATTTTAAGGCAGGCGAGGCAGATACTGACCAATCAGACAAGCTGGTGGAAGAGGTTGAGATGATGCTAGCGGGTTTGTGTGTGTGTGTGTGTGTGTGTGTGTGTGTGTGTGTGTGTGTGTGTGTGTGTGTTTGTGTTGTTTGGTGTGTTTTTGTGAGCGTGTGTAGATTCCCCGCCGAAAAATCACACAAAACTCAACATAACTTTATTTCGGGGGGGGGGGGTTATTAATCAGCGCCGGCCCACAACATAACTTTAATCGGGGGAGGTGTTTTAATCATAGGTTGACATTGAATAGTGGTTATATATCGTTGATAGTCGCATAGTGGTGATATAATAATAATAATAATAATAATAATAATAATAATAATAATTATATATATATATATGCAGAAGATTTGATATTTCATTCAAACCTGCAGGAAGTTCTACAGGACACTTTCCAAATTCCCACCAAAACCAAGTTGGTTTCCAGTGGAATGTCCTGGTTTGCTGTTTTTGTTGAATATCAAACCCCTGGGTCAGGGGAACGTCGCCTTCGAGCGATCGATCGAAGTGAGGGCAGCACCACCACCCTCGCCTCTGACGTGCGGGAGGCTCCGAACTCCAAACCGTGGATTCGGGGGGGGGGGGGCGGATTCTTTGGCGGTTCGGGAACTGAACTAGGCCCCCCAGCAGGGCTCCTTAAAGATACATTTTGCAACCATTTGAAACATGTTGTTTTTTCCACCAAAGTAAAGGGAAACCACCATTTACAAGGCAATGTTCAGGTGTATAATGTAAGGACCCCTGCCCAGTAGTGCCCTTTCTCACGCCGTTTTTTGGTTGCGAGGGTTCCCCTACTAAAATAGACTACCGAAAAAAGTTGGTACCCTTATTCTAACCTCTCTACTGGAGGACCTAGTGAAGTCCTGAGATCGTGCAGCCGCTTTTATGGTGAGCTCAGGGGGGGTAACACGAGCTTCTGACCCTTACAAAATGGTTGGTTAGTACCAAAATAAGGGGGTCATTGACCCATTTTTTGAGGGTCATGGAGACTCCAGGTAGATCCTTCACCTGACGATCTCTTGGTTTTGGAGTTATTGTAGGGTTTGCAGATCGTTGCCAGACTTCTCCCTCCCAGTGCCTCCAGGCGTGCAAGCCACAAAAGGTAGGTAAACCCTTCGGTCTGAATCGTTACCAGGTTTTACATCATGGCTGGAAACCCCGAGGCAAGCCTAGTATAGTGGTAACTGCCAATCGTGGAAGACGATGGGGCGTCCCCAAAAGGAAAGCAGTCTTTCAAGACTCTGCTGCCAGCTTCCATGATTGTTGGAGGGAGAGTAACTAACCAGTTTCCATGTCTTGACCCGAAGGGTTGGCTTCCTGCCAGTGCCCATTTGTGGGCCATCCAAAAGGGGCACCAAACGATACCAAACGTGAGTCCTAAAATCTGAGCAATGGCTGTGTGTTTCTTCAGGGTACCCCTCTTTTTGTTATGGTTTTTGAAGGGAGACCAAAAGGAAAGCCACTTTTTGTTTTTTTTGGGAGAGTCCCCCAACAACAAACACCCGTATTTTATGGCAAGCTCGCAAATGGGGTTTCCGACTCGCCCAGGAACATTTCTGTCAATCGGGTCCCTTGTTCTGGTTGGTGAATGATCAATGAAGGTTCGCAAAGATTTTGGCTTGTCTCAAAGTATCAGAGGGTGGTCCAAGGCGGGGTCCCTAAGGCTCCCTAAAACACCCTAAGGAACGAGGGCTCTCAACTATCCATCCCTCCTTGTATCAGTTCTTGGCCTCCTTTTAAAACACCCCCCCCTCCCCAAAAAGAAAACAAGTACCCTCAGAAATATTGTGGATGGACAAGTTCGACTTTGTACCAGTTGGGATTGGTGGTTCATACCAGTATTCATAGGGCTTCATCTATCCCAAGTTGTGCTGGATTTTGGCCATCCACAGCTTGCTGCCAGTGATTTCAGTTGCCATTATATTACCCAGCGCTTCCAATTACCACTATGGTAGGTAAG